AGAAAGAAAGAGAACAATACAGATACATATATGACAAGAAGAGAAAATACCCATAGCAGAAGAATAGAGAACGAATATATATATGACTATTATACAATTGTCTCTTATGGCACGTCTTTAATATGTGTCATAACACACGTAGTATTCGAAGTTCTTTATCTTCTTCGTCCGTTAGTTTTAGTATGACATTCCAGTAATCACCGTCTTCGTTGAGATGTACTGATACTATTCTAAACACGGATCCCATTGTAAATAGAATTTCTCCTTCTACATCATCAAATGCACTTTCTGCAGAAATATTTGCATAGGGAAATTTGTTGATGTGTAGATCAATATCAATTCGAAACAAAATACTTTGTTCTACAGCAGTTGTATCACTACTGCTGTTGCTACGATTACCAGCATATATTTCACGAGCCAAGTTTTCGTGTACAGTTGTCGACAAAAAACTGCTCACGGAGAAGTATCCATTAATGTTATGTCGAATTTTTCTGTCAAATTCTACGTTACTCATTAGTTGCCCTCGATAAACTGTTGCGATTCGTTCATTATTCGTGTTAATCGTAGTCGTATTATCGTTCATAAAGCATGCTGCTGCCACTGCTAACTGTTGTTGTTGTTGTGCGCTGTATCGTTCTCTGATCTGTAAATGAAGATCTTTGATAAAATACCGTAGCAAATATAGTGTATCTATGTCCTGTTCTCTCAATGCCTTGTTCAGTAGACGATAGAGAAATGTATCACGCGTATACCAGAAAATAGCATTGATTGGATCATAATACTCTTCGAATTCGTCGACAACATTCATATCTGCCTCATTGTCGCCACACTTTTGACGGAAATATTTAATAATCTCTTCTTCTGTTGATTTAATGTCAATCAAAATGTCTCGTGAAAGTAAGGCATACATGAACTCAGCTTCTTGGCGACTGATTTTGGCTGTGGTAGATTCTAATAATAAAAGTTGATTAATAGCGGTAGCAGTCAATAATGTAGAAAGGTCATCGACGCGTGTCTCCGAAAGAATATTTATATCCATATGATCAAGCCACGCTCTTTGTTTTCTCTGTGAATATGGTGGTAGATGACATAGATGAGCACATAATAATTCTAGGTTAGTGTAAACCCTACAGGCCACTGCTGTCGATGCTTGTGAGATCGTAGCTGCAATAGTGTCAGCAGAGTAAATTTCATCTTGTTCTTCCCACCAGAGCGTATGGCCTTCGTCAGGTCTCCAAGGGAAATTGTTTTCGCTCGACATGTACCAGATATTATTCCACAGTATTGCATGTGTAGTAAGAATTTTTATAGCAATAGTAGTAACTGTCCATGTAAGACAACATTCATTTAAATATAGAACGTAGACTGAGTCGACCTGCGGAAGTTCTTCAGTTCTTTGGAGAAATGTTCTCAAAAACTGAGACGTTTTTGACATTGAAATTATCAAAATTACTTTATTCTCATTCTCGTTCAGATTTTGAATATAATGAATACATCTGTCTATGTCCCGAAATGTAACCAAGTATGGATCGATCTTGCACAGAGATAGATGAATTGCACTTTTGTCTTTTGACGACTCATGTTTGTACATAAAATCAAGCCATACAGTATAAAACTTTTCTGCTATTCTCAATTAATAATGTACACCTTTGGTTCGATATAATTCAGATTGAAAGGTAGTTTGATGTGCAACTGTTTTCCTACGAAAATGTAACTGTCTGAGAACGTGCTCCGTTATGTGTGGCAATGATTAATCTTGGTTTTTTCCAAGTACAAAAATAAACACGATCAATAAAAAGAAGCATGGTATTGCTTTTAGTTGCTAAAGAAAGAACACAAGAAACTTCATACAACAATAATTTCACCGTCGTTGAAAATAGAAGAGAAAAAATACTTCGTATGTAATACACACATACACTCTTTGATGATTCATATTCAGCTGAAAGGGCGAAATGAAGTTGAAAGTCAGACCAAATCAAAAAGAAAGATGCTGTTGCATAATCACATATTTCCTATTCAAATCACTCGCTCTCTCTCTTTTCATTTTCTTCTCCCTTTTTCTGTTCAATTGTGGGATTGTTGCACGGCGTTCCTTACTTTTCTTTGTTTGCTTGTAAAGCGACAGCGAGGTAAAAAAGCGACGCTTGATGTGATATTGCACACATCATGCACCGATTTTTTCTTCTTTCCTATCTCGTTGCAACCAAGTGATGAAAAGGAAGGAGAAAAACGGAGAGAGATGTAGAATGAGTTATGTTCATTTGCAGTTATTCTGGAAGGGACCCATAACGTCCTTTCACTTTATCCATGGCACACATACATATGATAATCTCATTTTAATAAAGAAATTCTGCTGGTAAAATGGCACACCAGTGAGAATTTCTTGACTTGATGTTGAATCAAGAGTGAGGGAATATTGTGTCATTGTCAATTAACAAAATAATTCATCATAACAGGAGAAACGCACAGGAGTTGAATGTATCCAAATTATTTATTCTCTAAACATTGTCCACCATTTAGACAATAATTTGGATCAGTCCAATGTGATGCTTCATGATTATAAACTAAACAATCAATAAAATGATGACGATCGACTAGAGAAATATACATTTCATCGAAAAAATAATGAACATCTCTGAAATCAATTGATAGAATTATACTCGTTTGATCCAAGTTAAATTCACTAGATTCCTATCAAAACGTTCACTGACATGTAAACAACAGTCTTCCAAAGAAAATGTCTTTGTTAAATAGTCCAATTACAATCTAAAAGCGATAATAAATAGTAATGACTACAATCGGAAAATACACCGACAAAGATTCGCAGCATCAAAATAGATGATAAAAACTCTTGTTAAAAATCACGAATGAGAATTTCTGTATTCGAATCAAGATTTTCTAAAAAATAAGTATTTCGATGAGACAAAACGCCGACAGTATACTGTAAAAAATAAGGATCGCAATAAAAACGGATACCGTTCTAGAAATCAGCGAAATACCCTGCAAACGTTTATGAGAGTGGCGAAAACGTTTATTCCGTTTTTGCGGAATAAAGAGTTATTGACGAAACGGTTCTCAAAGAAGATCAACGTTTTCAAACACCGAATTGAAGGTTTTTCGGATTATTTTCACATGAGACTGGGGGTTTTGTTTTTCTATCTGTACAGAAACCGTTTATTGTAAACTTACATTGAAGGAAAAATTTTGCCCGGGGACACCCATGATCTTCAAATTTAGTGGACGAAGTATTAGGAGTGGATGAAGTGACGGAGTGGCAAGTGCTTTAACTCTTTTCTCTCGCGTTTGTTGATCAACTGTTTTCTCGGGAATAGTATGCAGAGCACTAATGAGTGCTAACAATCCAAGTTCTTGAAAGAAGCGATAATAATAGCAGTTCTCAATGTCCCCACAATTCCCATAATCCCCAATGTTCCCATAGTTCCTAATGTTCCCGTAGTTCCTTTAGTGCGCGTAGTTCAATGCAAGGAGCGGACTCCAGTCCCTTGGAGTCACATGAAATCAAGTGTAGTTATCTTAAGAGGAAAACAGCAGACTCCATCAGTTTCTAGTCTTATGAAACCTGTTGAAGTTGTATGGGATGTACTGGAGTCTACTGGAGGCTTTCGAAGACCTAATACTTCTGCTGCTTAAACCATTTATTCTCCAGAAATAGAATATTAGATCTGCCTTCTTGTCAAAAATTTCTCAATAACAGAGCATTACAGCTCATCCCCTTTTTAGATTTGTTTTCCCAAACAGGACACTTGTTCTAAATATGGGACAAATTTCCCACATATCCGAACAAAATGTTGCATTTTTGGGAATTTTTCCTAACAAAGGAGAAACAATGTTCTTTTTTGGGAGAATATTTCCCAGAATGTAACACATTTGTTCTTTTATGTGGAAAATTCATCCGATTTTCGGAACAAAAGTGTCCTGTTGTGGGAAAGCATGCTCAAATGATGCTCCTAATGTTCTTATAGTTCTCAATATTCCTAGGACATTAGAACAAGTCGGAAACAGCAGACTCCACATGACTCCTAACCGCGTATGGAGTCAGGGAGCCTATTCCTTTCCCCAAAACGGAACACTAGTGTGCAGTTAGGAACAATGGGAGCTAAACAATGCTACAAATGAAAACAGAATTTGAGAAAGCAAAGCACGCCAATGGAAATCATCAAACTCCATTCACTCCAGAGTCACTCCGTCACTCCGGATCACTCCACTACTCCGTCCACTCCAGTTAAACTCCGCGGAGTGACGGAGTTAGCGGAGTACGGTGTTTCCCCCTTGGTTTCAGCGCTCATTATCTGACTATTTTCAGCGTGAACACACGTTTTTGACGATTTCTGTCTGCTTGGGAGGTGACAGACTTCCAGGGCTATCTGACTCTCGGATCCAAAACTTCACCCGTGGGCCGATTTGTGGTGTTATGCGCCCCCGTCCTTACTAGCGCAGTCAAACGATATCCGCCACCTTTTTTGTATTCCGTTACGAGATGTTGAGATGACCTCAAAGACAAGCACTTTATTGGAGAAGAAAGCGACTTGATGTTTAAGAATTACAAGGCATTGGTCAATATGAGCTTTGAAATGATAAAAAATTGCTGAAATAATATTATTTATACAGAAAACCTCTCTTTACATAATTTGAGAATAGCGGAAAAGTTGAGCTGTAAAGACCGAAAAAAAATTCACGTCATTTATTAGATACAAAATGTCCCTTCCAAGGGACATTCTGTATCTAATAAATGACGTGAATTGTTTTATTATGAATATATCATGATCATCCTGAGGATTCGGAGTCTCTGTTCATGGTCTGCTTTCTGCAATACTCAAGAAAACCCCCTCCGGCTTTTAAGGTTTAAGACTGAGCACAGATTAGGCAAAAATATGAGATGTGACAGTTGATGGTTCGAATACAAAACCACTGGTTAGGAATGAATCGTGGAGAACATACCCATAGAATGGTAGGAGAAAAATAAGGAAAAAGCGGAGAATACAGCTGCTGTTATTGTGCTTTCTGCTAGGCGCTTCGTAGAGAAGAGCAGAGGTAAGGGCCTAAAATGACCAAAAAATGAGAAGTTTTTGTATATGACCTCTCGCCGCACCTCATATTTTACTTAATTGATGCTCGGTCTTAAATAATCATATGATTGACCACATTGAGTTATAAACATTATTATTTCTAATAGGTAGAATTTTCAATAAAAAAGCATAACAACAGCAGCAGTGTGAATCATTTTATTTTATTTTAAAAATTCCGACATTTCGATTTATTAAAAAATCATTGTCAAGGATATAAAAATACAAGGTCTAAAATTGTATATATATATGTTGCGCAGTTCTTAGTACTAACAACTCACTCTGTTCCGATGATCATCTTTCCGGAAGGTATAGTTCGGAAAAAGGAAAGAAACAAAAATAAGTAAATGTGGTGGTCAAGATGAGATAGACTATACGCACATATGTAGCAATGTCAATCTCTTCTCTTTCTTATTTTTTGGCTTATTCTATTTCTTGAATAGGTTAGAAAGTAAAAAGAGAAAGATAGTAAGAAAAGAATAGAAAGTACAAGAACTGCGCAACATATATATATATAATTTTAGAGCTTGTATTTTTATATCCTTGACAATGATTTTTTAATAAATCGAAACGTCGGAATTTAAAATAAAATTAAATGATTCATACTGCTGCTGTTGTTATGCACATTGATTTACTTTAAACAAAATGGCGATAGATACTCGTCAAAACATTGACAAGATTGGTTTAATATCTGTTCTCGTTTCAGAGTAATCAGTGATGAAAAATGGGGAGTTACCGCCCAAACACCCCGTAGTGTTCAAGAGAAACTCATCAAATTTTTCCAGAGATCATTGTCGATTGTTGCGAATTATCGGATGATTTTTCGATTTCTTTTAGGTTTCGTAGGTAGACTCAAATGGCAGTATTACTGCGCTTATTTTTTCTCTTTAATGTTACGCCTCGTGTGTTGACATTAATGTCAATCGTTGCTCTGTCTTTCTCGTTGGCTAGTATCGGAGATTCATTGAGAAGGAGAAGAGAATCATATAACAAGTGAAGCAAAGGCAAAAACTAACTTTTCTCTTGCACTTTTCTTTTCTCCTCTTTACATAGTATGAGAACGAATCGTTGGCGGCGCTTTTCGCCGTCTTGCCGTCTCTCATTCTGTTTTGCTCCCAATAGTCATTTTCTCAACGCGAGTGGACCACTATCTGCAACGAAAACGCTGAAACACGGT